TTTTATTTAGTAAAATATTAGATTATTTAGTAAAAATAATTAGGTTTACTTCTTCTGATATACAGATGTTTAACCTGCACCTTGAAGGCTTATTGACATCCACGTGATGGTAATTTGTCAATCTGTGCCTGTTACTACTTCATCAATTCATGGGATACAGTGTATTATGGGGAAGGAAGAAAACCAAGAGGCTCTCTAGTCTCATCTACCTTCCATTGATGCAGGAATTGCTCCTCCACCATTCACTCCCTAAACAACCTCCTGCATGCTTACATGTCTCAGGCCCCATGTGAGGGATGCAGGTGGAATGTGGCCCTATTGCACAGGGAAAGGCAAAGAGCAGGCTAGAACAAATAATTATATGCCCTGATAGATGCTATGAAGGCAACATGTAGGAGTTGTGGCAAAGAGTAACACAAGGGACCTAATTTAGAAGACTGCTCTGATGAATAACATTTCCTCTGGGCCCTAAGGGCAGGGAGGGCATTCTGGTGGAACAGCTGGGTGGAGAAGATGTGCAGGAAGGCCACAGCACCCTGAGTGAATGTAGGGAAGGTGCCATGGCATAGGGCAAGATTAGATATTTAGATTTTATTCCAAGTGAGATGAGAAGTCACTGAACAGTTTAAAGTAAGGGAATAACATTGTATCTACTCCTTAAATTCAGTTTTTAACCAAATTCTGATTAATTTACAACCTTCTAAAATACCAAATACTTAATTAAATGAAAGAAAAACACTAAAATGTTGACAGTGTTATTTTTGGAAGGCGGGATCAAGTTTTTTTTTTTTTTAATATCTGTCTGATATTTTTAATATTTTGCTGGGTTTTGTTTTTTAGGAAGGAGTTACTACTTTTAAAATGAGAAAAACCTACATTCTTATATAAAAATAAGTGGGAAGCTAAATTTTATTTGCCAATGATATAAATGTATTTGTATGTAATATGTATTCTATAACTATTCAGTGAAATTTAAAACAAAATGGTTCTAAAGTAAATTACTAGTAGGCAAAACACTGTTTTCTTTTTCTTCTCTTTTTCTAAGGAGAATTTATTTTTCAAATTTGTCATCATTGAAATGTATCTATTTGTTTTTTTGTCTTTTTGTCTATATATTATAGTTTGTTCCTGAACTCTCCACTATTCTAGAAATAGTTTGTGAATATGGTCATTGGCTACACTGGCTCCTTGGAAAGAAGAGAGAGGTGAAATAAAAAGCACCCTCCTCTTTCAGCTCCCCTGACTTCCGTCCTCTGGCCACTTGCTAGGTATATTTTAAGACTTTGTGGAGAAGGTTCACCTCATGCTTAACAAAAAGTGGGTCAATTTTTCCCCACCCTTTCTAACAGATTATTCAAACATACTGCATGCATTAATTAATCTTGTCAATTCAAAATTAGTGTTTCACTGGAAATGAGGACACCTTTAATTCAAATGTAAATATATACAACATTTCCCAGCTTACCTAAAAATGGCAGCTTTATTATACAAGATCCTGAGATTCTATTTAGAGTTTAGAGATGTGCTTCCTGAGCTTGAAGGACTTTTAATCAAAAAGGGAACATAAAACTAAGAAACAGAAAATCTTCTGAAAGGCTTTTGACATTTAAAAAACTGTCAAAGGGTCTGAGTTAAATGATGAAAAAACTTGCTGTCATCTTTGTCAGACTGGAAACTTTAGAAATCCTGTATATGTATAACTAACAGTACACATACATGTATACGTGTTTGGTTTTTCTCCTATTGTGAGTGAGAAAGTTGGGGACAAGTGCAAAGAGGAGGAGCAGACAAGGAGGCAGGTAGAGCTTGGACCCTCATTTGCTCTTTAACCAGAACAATGCTACTTTTTCATGTTTTATATATGTCATTTCAGAAAAGGCTTCTTAACTTGAAAGTGTGAAGACCTATTGTGATGTGTTTGAGTTTCTTCTAGAGTCTAGGCACTGGGAATAATTCCTAAAAAAGTAACATGATGTAGGTCCTAGTTTTCCCACTTTACAGATGAGGAAAGGAAGGTTCTGAAAGAATAAATAATTTGTATCACATACACAGCTACTAAGTAGCAGGGCCAGGATTCAAATTCAGTTTGTCTGCTCCAAAGCCCACCCTTCCAACCACAATGCCATGCTGGATCTGTGTTTAAGGCTCAAAGTGCATATATTCACAGGCACTTAAACAGTATGCCAATACTCCAAAGCACAGATCTCTTTATATAAGTACAATAAAATTTATGAAGGTGTGTTTTCAGTGGTGCACACTGCCTAGATATCACTTTAGTTAAAGAGGTTTTAATGGCTTAAGAAACAAGCTTTGGCCACAAAGGATGGAGAAATGCATCCAGACTGTGAGGATAGATTGTGCAAAGGCTCTCTGCAAAAATTCTTGCTTTGGATGGAAGCTGCCAGGAGTGGAGGCAACCTCTCCTTGGCCTCCCCATACCCCAAATCTTTTCCTTAAATAATATTTCAAAACTTAAAACAGCAATAAAGAAGACTAAAAGGGAAGTCCTCCTGGGATTTTAGGGTTGACATGGGCACTTTTGGGTCTATGGAACGTTGTCACCACAGCACAGATGGACAGTCATTTGGGGGAAAATCACTAGCAAAAAAGAAGAGAACATACACAGAAACAAGGAGAGCCTGTTGGTGAGGTCACATTGCTCATGTCTAATTATTTAAATGGCACTATTGTTACTTTGTTTGTTCAAATTTAGTCAGATGAACCTCCAGGAGAGGAGAACTGCATGTTTTTCTTCCATTAAATGGTAAAATTCTTCCAGGTGTTCTTTCTTTCTTCCTCTCTCTCTCTCTTTCTTTCTTTCTTTCTTTCTTTCTTTCTTTCTTTCTTTCTTTCTTTCTTTCTTTCTTTCTTTCTTTCTTTCTCTCTTTCTCTCTCTCTCTCTCTCTCTCTCTCTCTCTCTCTCTCTCTCTCTCTCTCCATATTTCTCTTCTGGGAAGTTGTCAAAATATATGATTTTAACTTTAAAGAAAAACAGGACTGAAATGTGTCAAACTCCTGGAAATAGTTTGAAACCCAGTTGCGTTTACACAGAAAAACACATACTACAAATCCTGAGACCATCTGGCCACAGAGCTCTCAGTTTCTCTGACAACACTCCTGGAACTGTGGGCGGGTAAGTCCTGTGATTACTGAAGTGAAAATCAGGCAGGAGAACAAACAAGAACAGACAGGTTTCAAAACAACACATTCTAGTTCCTGTTCTATTGAACTTTAGACCCATGTCACCTCCTAAGGAAACATGGGACTCGAGAAGAAAATCAGGAAAGAGACCTGTTTCTAAAATGCTGAGTAAGAATCAAGCCACATATAAGAGGCACTGAGGAAGGGGACTATTTAAAGGGAACCCGAGGCAAATGTACATATAAAGTGATCACACATTGCCTCTGCAGGTCTGTTTTGTGTTTGTATAGCTATAAAATTGGTATATTACAGTAGTAATTACAATTTCTCTGAGTTACGTTCATTCACAGTTATTAAATTTGCAAGCATGAAAATTTTACTCCTCAAGTGTTTAAAATATTTGATAGTCAAAAGTAGTTGTAGACCAGGCCAGGAAGAAATGGAAAAGAAGGTAAAATGTGAATGCTCCCAAGAAGCTGGGCAGCCCCATGTAGGGGCTTGTTTATAGGTTAGCAGGACAAGCCAGAGCTCTTTGTATTCAAACTGACAGGATTTAAAGGAGAGAAGGGCCCTGGCCGGTTTGGCTCAGCGGTTAGAGCGTCGGCCTGCGGTGCAGAGAGACCTGGGTTCGGTTCCCGCTAAGGGCACGTACTTTGGTTGCAGTTTGTCCCCGGCCCTGGTTGGGTTGTGTGGGTGGCAGCCACTCGATGTGTCCCATTCATGTCGATGTTTCTCTCTCTCTCTCTCTACCTCCCACTCTATCTGAACAAAAAATGGAAAAATGTCCTCGGGTGAGGATAAAAAATAAATAAATAAAATGAGAGAAAGACCATCTTTTACAAAAATGAGATAAGCACAATGTGGTGCAACAAGAATTCCTGTGTTAGTAATTTGATAAATATTCACCTAGCAAAAATTAAGAGAAGTCCACAATCGCCCTGGCCTGGTAGCTCAGTTCATTAGAGTCTTGTCCCGATACACTAAGATTGTGGGTTTGATACCTGGTCAAGGCACAAATGGCTCAGTTGGTTGAATGCCGTCCTGTGCAATGAAAGGTTGCAGGTTCGATTTCCGGTTGGGGCATGTGTCCAGGTTTCGGGTTTGGTCCCCATTCGGAGTTGGTATGAAAGGCAACAGATTGATGTTTTTCTCTCACACTGATGTTTCTCTCTCACTCCCTTCCTCTCTCTCTCTCTCAAAATATCAATAAGTTAAAAAAGAAAAAGAGAAGTCCACAATCATTTGAGAGTCTTGAAAAATCTATGTAAAATTTAGATCTTCTAGGCAATGTCTTGGATAGATATTTAAAAGCTAAAACTACTTGCCAGGTGCTTTTTCTTTCTATTAAAAAAAATATTTTTATTGATTTTTAGAGAGAGTGGAAGAGAGAAGAAAATAGAGAAACATCAATATGAGAAGGAAACATCAATAGGCTACCTCCTGTACACCCCTTACTGGGGATGGAGCCCACAACCCAGGCATGTGCCCTGACTAAGAATTAAACAGACAACCTTTCAGTGCATGGGATGATGCCCAACAAACCGAGCCACACCGACCATGGCAAGATGCTCTTGTCTAAAGCCCCCTCTTCAGTACCAGTATCATCCTGATGTTCTAGAATTGCCAGTTCCAATGATTGCAGAATACTTTTACTTGCTGTTTGGTTTTAGGTGGGAGAATTACTGAGAAGCATCATTTTGCACTTGGGGAAGGAATGGAGGAGATGGGAGATCATACCAGAAGGGAGTGAGCAGAGGTGAGAGAAGCCTCAAAGTGGAGTGAGAGGTGAGGGCAGTTGTGTGCTGCAGATACCATCTGGCTGGTATTCACAGTAGGCGATCATCAGGAAGGTCAATTACCTGAAATTTCTGGAAGTGTAGGCTTGTCTTCTTTCCGGAAGTTCCCATCACAAACAGGAAGTCTGGGGTTAGCACAAATGGCACTCTCTCTTTATTAATGCCCAGGAAACTTTTGTAATTCCCAAGAATATGACCAAAGTCAATATGAAATAGATTTCCTTAAAAAAAGAAATGTCTGACATCATTACACTGGCATAAGCACTTGTAACAAAACTCTAGCTTGTTTATTTCTTGAAACATTGTTTTTTAAGTTGCCTGACAATGAACCATCTTTGGTGACAGAGTTATTTTTATACTGTTTTATCAGGTGGTGATATTTTTCATTTTAGCAGGTGTGTTTAGTAATAGCCACAAAACACTTTGAACCAAGTATGTTTTCAATATCCTTCTGGTGTTCTTTAAATGTTAGTAAAAATTATCATCAGAATTATTCTTGGAAATATAAATCAAAACTCTGGCTAATATGTCATCATTATGCCCAAGACTCTCTATGCCCTTTGTGTAACTCAAGATAGACTGACGTGTCAGTCTGCTTGGGGGAGGGGCATTTTACTTTTACTTTTGAGTAGCATGATAGAAATAAATTATTTGAATCTCCTTTGGGTCAATTTCTACCACTGCTACTGTCACCACCACAATTACCATCATATCTTCTCATTTGTGTAGCTCTTTATTGTATGTATGGTCTATAAATGCATTATCTCTTTCGATTCTCATAGAAAGTAGTTTACCCAAATATGGTGCTTTTCCCAGAATCTACTCTTAAATTGATCCAAATATCTTAGACAAAAATTTCTTGGCATGGTAGCCAATGCTGACTATTGTTATAGTGGACAGTGAACCAGTGAGGAGTGGTAGATTAGGAAGGCACAGCATTTCTGATTCAAAGATAGATATCTGTGAGTTCTTTTTTGTACTGTTTTTCTTTTCTTTTCTTCTCTTCTCTTCTCTTCTCTTCTCTTCTCTTCTCTTCTCTTCTCTTCTCTTCTCTTCTCTTCTCTTCTCTTTTCTTTTCTTATCCTTACCCGAGGACATTTTTCCATTTTTTGTACAGATAGAGTGGGAGGGAGAGAGAGGAAAGAGAGAGAGAGAGAGAGAGAGAGAGAGAGAGAGAGAGAAACATCGATGTGAAAGGGACACATCGAGTGATCGAGTGGCTGGCACCCGCATGACCAACCAGGGCCGGGGACAAACTGCAACCGAGGCACATGTCCTCAGTGGGAACCAAACCCAGTTCTCTCCAGACCGCAGGCCGATGCTCTAACCGCTGAGCCAAACCAGCCAGGGCTTTTGTACCTTTTCTATACCATCTGACTATGGTGATTACATTGCCTCACAAGCTTCTGGGATATGATCCTATCCTAGCTTTCTCTGACTTAAGCTTCTTAAGTCTCATTTCCTACATCATCTTCCATTATTCTCTCCTGTGTGATCTAGGGTGGACACAGAATCTGTGTCCGTATACAATAATGACTTCTAGATATGTGCTCCAATCTTGTACTCTATTAAAAATTACCCTGTACTGGGGGAGGAGGAGTTAGTGTTCAACGGTGCAGAGTTTCAGTTGGGGAACATGAAAAAGATTTGGTTAGTGAATGGTGGTGATGGCTGCACAACAATGTGAATGTACTTAATGTCACTAACCTCTATATTTATAACTGGTTAAAATGGTAAATTTTATGTTATGTGTATTTTACCAATAAAAAATTACTCTACAAGAAATAAACTCACCTGTCTCTGTAATCATAATGTTGTCATTGTGCCGGTCCCCTATTCCAAGAACAAAGGTTGCCACACAGTAGCCAGCACAGGAATAAACAAACCTCTCCACCGCTGCCTGAAACTAATTAAAATGCATTTGAATATCAGTTGTGTTCTAACTACAAAGGGCAGCATGAATCTATTACAAATGATTTTCAATAAGACATTATTCTGGAAACCATTTTCAGAGAGCAAATTAGTTGTGTGTGGTTCCATTAACATTGTATCTGTTAAGTGTCAACTTTCTCATTGCTCTACTTACATTTTAGGGGAAGATTCAATGAATCACAATAGCAGGAGGAGGAAACAAGAGTCAAAGGGCAACATCAATTTAATCAAATGGTTCACTTTCCCTCCCTGTGTCACTTGCCAACAACTACACAGAACCCACAATAATTTCTTCGTCATTGGTGAACATGTGTTTTGTGTTTTGCTTGTGATCACTTGAAATGTGAGGGGGTCACAATCCACATGTGTAACAGACTAATAAGTGCTACTAATTATATTGCCTCCCCATAAGGCTGCTAACCCTGCCCATGAGGAGGGCTAATCCGGTGTAGAACTTTTAACAACAGCCCAGTTGTAAAGTATTCAGCACAGGTAATTCAGAGAATTGGTGAACCATTTAGATTAGAGTGAAGTGGAAATTAGAAATTACTTTATAGGGTATGTGGTGTTTCCCAGGTAGGAAGAAATTTATACGTGGTAACTAAATCTTTCTGCTGAACAACAAAACAGACTGTCAGAAAAAGTACTAACAAATTATTTCACATAAACAAATTTTATGCAAAGTGTGCCTGATAATCAAAGGAGAAACAAATGCTCATGGAGTTCTGAACTGAACACCTGTATTTTACAAGGAGATGGTAGGTCACCACAAGAAGGTGCTTAAAACCCTCATGACCTCCTGAATAAAGGACTTCACCAAATACCTCAGGAGGCATGACACTGGTGGATCCTTTGAAAATGTGAAACCCCTATTGCTATGTAAATGAAAACTCTTAAGGAGCCTTTGGAGTGGAGAAAAGCAGGAGCTCACCTTTTCTTCAATAGGGCATTTTTCTTTGAGCCAGTGATTTAGGACTTCATCTTTAAAGGCGCCTGTGTTGCCCACTGTGCTTTGCTGAATTTTGGCAATTGTTGTGGCATCTTTTACAATCTCGATCATTCCTGCAGGAGGATGCATATAGTTTGATGTAGATTGGGGCCTAGTGCCTGACCCAGAGGGGCACTGGCTATGTCTTTGTTGAGGGGAGGGTAGAGAGCTATTTTCCATGTTTATGTTGTTGGTTTTCATAGAAGAGAAACAAAAGGAGGAGAATATGAAAGTTGTATGGGACATGCTTTCAATATCCCTGAATGAAAATGGGAAAGCATTGATTTTGAAAGGTGATAAGTAAAAGCATTTATGTGCTGAGTATATCCTTTCTTCTTTGGTAACCTGTGCATTTTCCTTTTTAAAATTACAGGTCAAATGTAAATGGTTTTGTACAGTTCCAAATTGAAAACTTGAATAAAAATCTTTGATTGAAATGAAAATGTTACATGTTTGTAAAAGCACCTAAGAGTACAGTATATAATAGCTTTGATAATGTGAACCCTGGAATATTAAAATAAGTGACAGATATTTCTGTCTACTTTTAAATGTTATTTGTGAGGGAGAAATTTAATGTGCAATGAAACAGTTAAAGTTTAGAGGTGGAAAAGTAAAGAGGAAGGAGCAAGTTCTTACTAACATCATTTCCATGTATGGTAAAAAGGATTTGAATCATGCATTCATTTATCTTCAACATATTTATATTAAATTGAGAATCATATTCATCAGCCTTGGAACATTTTCTTCCTTTTTTATATGGGTTATGATTGTGATTTGTCAGTTAGTAAATGCCTACACTGAAGGAATTATGATCCTTTAAAACTAATTGAGTGGTATATCCATCTCCTGAGATAATCACGTACCTATTTTGTCACCAGTTGAAATGCAACCATATGGCAGGAGGCACAGATCCAAAGATTCAGTCTCCCAAATGGACTCCATGATGCGTAGAATCTGGCCATCAAAACACAAAAATGTTTCTATTTTAAATGTATATATTTCTTCCCCTGAAAAAAAAACACACTTATCTGGTAACATAACATATATAAGAAAACAAAGTATATAAGTAATAACTATACTTTTATTTATCAACCTGGTTCTCTAAAGTTTCCATTCCTTGGGAGCCTGTTAATTTTGGTCCCAGAGATTTATGTTGGGGAATAAGAGAAATGGATTTCTTCTGAGATAGGTTCTGGCCACGATTCATCTATTACACTCTAGTTATGTATATTTTACCACACACACACACACACACACACACACACCCACACACACCTCCACCCTATCATCCTTATAGATTTTTATCCATAAGAGACTCCTGGGCTACCACCAAGACAATAATAACAACAATCATAATGATAGCTAACATGTACTGAGTGCTGATTTACGTTGATCCTTTACATTTACCATATAGTATGGATCTAATTATTATTCACATTCTGCAGGTGTAGAGACTAAGGTTTAGAGAGCTTAAATAACTTGTCCTTATCTGCCAAGCAAAGCGCCTTAACAACAAAACAAAGTATATAAAGGTCAAGTGCAAACTTTTCCTCAAAATGAGAGAAAAATGAGTGATTTGTGTTTTTCAATTATATCTTTGAATAATTCAAAAGAGTTTACAGATTTATTGGAAATTAAATCAACGTTCAAAAGGTTTGAATAATTTTTCTTTTTTGTTAATCCTTACCTGAGGATCTTTTTCCATTATTTTTAGATAGAGTGGAAAGGAGGACAAGAGAGAGAGAGAAATATCAATGTGAGAAAGACACATTGATTGGTTGCCTCTCCTCCAACCCCAAATGGGGTTGGGGATCAAACCTGCAAACCAGGTATGTGCCCTTGACTGGGAATAAAACCCGGACCCTTTGTCCTTGGGCTGACACTCTAACTACTGAGCCAAAGCAGCCAGGGTGACTTTTCTATGTTTTAAATAAAAAATTATTTCCAGGCCCAAAGGTGACTTCCAGTACTGATGGTGGCATAGGTAAACACAGCACTCACCTCCTCCCACAGCCACATAAAAATTACAACTAAACTACACAACAACCATCATTCAGAACCACCTGAAGTAAACTGAATGGCAGTCCTACAACTATGAAATTAAAGAAGAATCCACACTGAGACTGGTAGGAGGGGCGGAGGTGTGGACGGGCTGGTCCCACACCCACATATGGACAATAAAAATCAGGGGGGCTTCCTCAGCTGTGAAGGTCCTCTCTGAGGAGCAAGGGGTCCCTGTCCCACACCAGGACCTCCAGGGAGTGCCAGTGCCAATGCCAGGAAGAGAAATTCCATAACATCTGGCTGTAAAATCCAGTGGGGACTGAGGCTGAGGCTACTGGAGCCCAAAGCAGTTCCTCTTAAAGGACCAGCATGCGGACTTACTGGGACTTGCTCCCTCTAGGCTCCAGCATGGGGGAGGCAGCTTGAAATGCACCAGAGACATGCCCGAAAGAACTGAGTTGTTTGGCATTAGGACAAGAGCTAGAGAGGTAGCTTTCTCCAGGACAGATGTGCTGGTGGAGGCCATTGTTCCTTTGGTGAGCCCTTCCCCCTTGAGCTTGCAAACAAGCGCCATATCTAAGACTTCAGCAACCTAGTCCACACTGTTTGCCCCACCCTGGTAATTCCATGAGGCCCTGCCCCACCCAGCTTTCAGCCCACCCGAGCTCTTTCCAGTGGCTTTACCATAGAATTGGCCTATCTTGGCTTCTGCTTCAGATTTTCCTAAATTTTCTCAAACAAGCAGCATCTGGTCTCAGTGAGTCCCATACCTCTTGCTAAGTGGCCCCAGGCCTTGCAATAGAAGCAGCCAGCCTTGGTTTACAGCTGGGCACCTCCAAGTCTGGCACAAGAAGCAGCCATCTGCAGATAGCTTTGTAGCTTATACCTGGTGGCCCCGGGTAGAACACAGGCAGTGGCGGACCTTGCTCCAGAGCCAGCACACGCAGTGGCCAGCTTCAGATCACATCAAAACACTACCACCCAACCACTTCTATGAATGACACACTCAAGGAGTGAACTCAGTGGGTACCAGAGCCCTGCTGAAGTAAGACTTGCTTTGTGTGGTGGGCCCCTGCATAGTTGATCCTCCAAGATAGTCATAGATCGGTGGTTAGTGGGCACAGCCAGTCCTTGCAGTTGATCAGCCTGAGTAAAATCCTCCCACTTATGTGCCAACAGCAATCAAGACTCAATTACAACAGAAGAGGGTACAGTCCACACAAGAGGTGGGCCCAGCTGGGGTGATCAGGGAGGCTGTACCACTGGACCCTACAGGGCACCTACTAGAACAGGCCACTCTAGGAAGCCTAGGAGGCATAGAAACTCTACTTAATACAAAGAAACAAACACAAGGAGGCAGCCAAAATGAGAATACAGAGAAACATGTCCCAAATGAAAGAACATAACAAGACTCCAGGAAAAGAACTAAACGAAATGGAGATAAGCAATCAAACAGACACAGAGTTCAAAACACTGCTTATAAGGATGCTCAATGAACTTAGTGAAAACATCAAGGAACTTAGTGAGGACCTCACGAGCATAAGAAAGGACCAGTCAGAAATGAAGGGTGCACTAACTGAAATAAAAAATAATTTACAGGGAATCAGTAGTAGAGTAGGTGAAGCCAAGAAGCAAACCATTAATTTGGAATATAAGGAAGCAAAACACACCCAATCAGAACAGCAAAAAGAAAAAAGAATCCAAAAAATGAGGGTAGTTTAAGGAGCCTCTTAGACAACTTGAAGCATGTCAACATTCACATCATGGGGGTGCCAGAAAGAGAAGAGAGAGAGCAAGAAATTGAAAACCTATTTGAAAAAATAATGACAGAAAACTTCCCTAACTTGGTGAAGGGAACAGACATACAAGTCCAGGAAACACAGAGAGTCCCAAACAAGATGAACCCCAAGAGGCCCACACCAAGACACATCATCATCAAAATGCAAAAGGTTCAAGACAAAGAGAGAATCTTAAAAGCAGCAAGAGAAAAGCAGTTAGTTACCTACAAAGGAGCTCCCATAAGACTGTCAGCTGATTTCTCAAAAGAAACTTTGCAGGCCCAAAGGGAGTGGCAAGAAATATTTAAAGTGATGAAAAGCAAGGACCTACAACCAAGATTAGTCTATTCTGCAAAACTATCATTTAGAATCGATGACCATGTAAAGAGATTCCTAGATAAGTAAAAGCTAAAGGAGTTCATCATCACCAAACCAGTATTATAAGAAATGTTGAAGTGTCTTCTTGAAGAAAAAGAAGAACAGAAAGATGACAATAAAATGGCAATACATATCTATCAACAATTGAATTTACAAATAAAATGAACACGCAGTACTGAAACAGACTTGTAAATACAGAGAACTTTTTGCTGGTTGCCGATGGGAGGATGATTGCGGGGATGGGTGAAAAAGGTGAAAGGAGTAAGAAGTGCAAATTGGTTGTTAGACTGACAAACTTCAAACGGAAAGGGGGAGGGGGGAGAGAGAAACCAAAGACCTTATATGCATGTATGTATAATCAATGGACACAGACAATAGTGTGGAGAAGGCAGGAGGGTGGTGGGAGTGGGGAGCTGAGGGTAACAGGGGGAATAAAAGGGGGACATCTGTAATACATTCAACAATAAATTTTAAAAAAGAAAAAAAATTATTTCCAGAAAAATACATTCTTGAAAAGAGAACAAAGGGTATTATTGTTTCCATATTAGAAATAAGCAAAAACAGAAACATAGGGAATTAAAAACATGATCTTGTTTTTAAATAGTCTACATTTACATCACTGTGGTTTGCCTATTTTAAATAAATCATTATTAAGTATTAGAAGTTATTACCTCTACAGTATTGGGCAATTAGAATATAGAGAATATTACTTTATGGATTTGTGAAGCTCAAGTTTATCCAGAAATGTTAGAAAATAAAGACATGAGAAACACTGATACCTTTACTATTCAGTTGCTGTAATAATCCATTGACTCTTATTATTTAACTGCATGATTTCTTCAATCACTGACCTGTTCATCTTCTCTCTCCTTCCTATCAAATCATTCACTTGAGTGTGTATTAGATGGATGTGTATCAAAGGTGATGTATCTAAGACGAGTACCTGTGGATGTGTAGCTATATCTATGTATAAGAATGAAAGCAAATGCTTATGGGTAAATACATTTATGTTCTATGTTACCATACTAGGAATGGGGTGTCTAAAGCAGAGGTTAGGTGAGAGAATTATATCTGGCTATTTTGGAATATTGGATATGCATCCTGTCAGGAATGGACAGAACCATGGTGCTCACTAGATTGTGTATCGAATGGTCCACAGCCATATTCCCCCAGTGAAAACTCTCTGTTATATAATCTTTAATTACTGTTCATCATACAAGATAGGAGACTGGGAATATAGTATAAAGCATCTTTTTTTTATATCTAATATGCTAGAATTATTTTTTCAGGTAATTGAAAAAAACTTCTTAATAGTAGCATACCTGTAAAATAAGCATGTCTTGGCGCAGATCGTCACCATGTTTAAAGATAATGCCAATTGTTTCATTTGATAGAGCTGTAGGGTCAGCACATTTAAACTCAAGCCACAGGGGTTTTTTTTTTGAGGCCATCACTTTACATTTTTCAACCTGAAAAGAAACAGTCAGATGTTTTTATACACAAAGAACACACATTGTGGAGACACACATCCTCTTGAGAAATATCACTAAAAATGACCAGGACAAACTCCTAGTTGGAAAATTATTTTCAATGATTTGGATAAAAATACAGAAAGTGTTCTCACCAAATCTGAAAATGCTAGTGAGAGCAATTCATGACATGTAAATCAGTGGTTCTCAAAGTGTGTTCCGAGGAACCCTAAGGTCTGTGAGGATGCCTAACAGGCATAGCAGATCCTATCCTCTGCACACCCCACTCCCATAGGATTCAGGTACTCCCAAGTCCCCTTTAATACAGAACAACTTTGTTTATATATTTGGCCTCCACCTAAGATTTAATTTGAAAAGAGGGATTCTATTGCTATCACAATATCTAAAAACTATTGTTGTAGAATCAGAAACAATAGGCCAAATATAATAAGATAAAATTTAACTGCAGTGAACAGAAATCTAGCACTCAGGTACAATGCCTCCTCCTTCCAAGAAAAACCAAACACACCAAAACCACTATATATCTAAATAAACTCAAGGAACTTTGCAAGGAAATGTGGTTTAGCAGCTACTCATTTCAAAAGAAAATAATCTTAGGAATTCTGACCAAAAGTGAATTCACCATGCATCAAAAATGTGATATGATCTTTTAAAAAAAAGGAAACACAATCTGAAACTGTGTTAATATACTATTATTCCTACCAATCTCTGACAGAAGATAGTATATGTTTTTACTACAGGGCCAGTTTACTACTAATTGAATATAAAATAAACACAAAGGGAGGATCATCTCCTTCTTTTCAGGGGGAATATCTTTCAAAATTAAAATTGGAATAAAGAGTCGTACAGATAAATAAAATACAAATTTCTTGCCAGAGGATTTGTACTATAAAAAATATTAAAGACTGAAGGAAAATAATGCCAGATGAAACATGGACCTATACAAAGTAATGAAGTGTACCAATAATGGTAAATATGTAGGTAAATATTAAACAATGTTCAGTCTATTAAATTTGTTAAATAGATTTTTAACTGTTCAAAGTAAAAATAATAATAATGTATTGGGTTTATAGTATATGTAGAAATTAAAAGCATAACAAAACTAGTATGTATAACAATGGAAGGCGGTTAATGGAAAGTAAGTGTTGTAATTTTTATGCATACATGAAGTGGTTTATTATTTGAATATAATCAAGAGCATGAGGTATTGATGTAAGGTTAGATATTTAGATCAATGTAACAGAATAGAGAATCTAGATATAGATCTACATAGTCAGATAATATTTGACAAAAGTATTGCCAACATATTTAAATAGGTAAAGTACAATCTTCAACAGATGGTGCTGGAAAAGTTGGATATTCAGATAAAAAATGAAACCTAATCTTTATCTCACACCATATACAAAAATTAATTTAAAATAGATCAAAGACTTAAATGTAAGAGTTAAAACTATATAATTTCCAGATAAAATATTTGCTACATTGAATTAGACAGTATTTCTCAAGTTTGGCACTGTTGACATTTTGGGATGGATAATTTTTTGTTAGAGTAGGGGACTGTTATGTGCATTGTAGAATATTTAGCAACATTTCTGGCCTCTACCCACTAGATACTAGCAGCACTTTCCACTTGTAACAATAAAAAATGTCTCCAGACATTACCAAATGTTCCTTGGGGTGTGTGTGTATGTGGGGTGGGGGTCACCTCAGGTTGAGCATTACTGGATTAAGCAAATATTTCTTAGAATAAAATGCATGAGCCATAAAAGAAACAGTAATAAATTGAACTTAATAAATATTAAAACCTTCTGCTCCTTGAAATACACTATTGAGAAAATAAAAATGCAAGACACAGACTAGAAGAAATATTGGTAAAATGTATACCTGATAAAGGATTTGTGTACAGAATATATAAATAACTCATAATTAAAAATGAGAAGGCAACCCACATTAAAAATGAACAGTTGGCAGCACCTTATAAAATTACATACACATGTACCATCTCACCCAACTATCCCACTGTTAAATATTTACTAAAAAAAATGGATGGAGGATTCCAAAATGGCAACAGAATGAATGGAAGCTACGCAGACGATCTCCCAGGACCAAACTGGAATTACAACAAAAGTAAAGACAAATCGTCAGGAAAAAGCAACAGAAAAGCAGCTTGGAGGACCATATAACCAGAGACACTGACTCAATCCTGATAGGATTGTGGAGGCACGAGATGGGGGGCTGGGAGCCCACAGATAGCAGCAGCTTTAGCTGTGAGCAGTGCCCTTGGGTTACATTCCCAAGTGGCTCCACAGCGCAGACCCAGGACAGACACTAAAATAGCCACAGCCGCTCACCATGGACTCCGGCAGAGGGAGGGCAGACTGGACTGGAACTGTGTGGGGACACTCGGGATTTGGAGGGTGCTCAAAGCTTTCGCTGAGTTGCGGCCACACAGGACAGTGGTCATCTTACTCCTTCCCAGGGCTCTGGGGAGACTTGACGGCCCCTCCCTCAGAGATTCAACCTCACCCAGTGGCCATTGAAATGCAAATTGAGTCCCATTAAAAACCAGCATCTGCTCCACCCTCTGGAAAACCCCTTATGCTGAACACCTGAGGGAGTTTTTCATTCAACTGAGAACCCAAGGCTCTTCAAGTAACTGCTACTGATAGCCTCTAGGCAAAAAGCTAGAGAATAACCAAACCATTCCTGGGCTTGCAACTCTGCCCAGGAAGGTAAGACTTGACAGTGGTGTTTAACTTGGGTCCTCTCACACTCATCCAAACCCAGTAGAGGGTGCCACACACAGCAGAACACCAACACCCACAAGGAAAATTTGGCAGAATCCAAAGCCCACTGAGAAGGCCAAAATGGTGAAACAAAGAAACAAATGCCATATGAAAGAACAAGAGAACTCTACCGAAGATAAGTTAAATGAGGTGAAGATAAGCAAGTTAACAGAACTAGAATTCAGAGCCATGATCTTGAGGAAACTCAACAGCATTTGTAAGGACATGAGCACCATAAGTAAAGACATAGAAATATTGAAAATCAACCAGTTGGAAATTATAAACCACCAAGAAGAAATGAAGATTGACATATCAGAAATAAAGAACACATTGGAAGGTCTAAATAGCAGAGTAGAAGAAGCTGAGGACCGGATCAGTGAATTAGAAGACAGGGTAGAGCCCTGGTAGGTTTGGCTCAGCATTAAGAGCACCAGCCTGCAGTCAAGAGAGACCTGGGTTCAGTTACTGCTAAGGGCATGTACCTTGGTTGTGGTTTGTCCCCAGCCCTGGTTGGACGTGAGGGTGGCAGCCACTCAATGTGTACCTTTCATCTTGATGTCTCTCTCTCTCTCTCTCTCTCTCTCTCTCTCTCTCTCTCTCTCTCTCCTCTCTCTTTCTCTCTCTCTCTCTCTCTCTCTCCCCCTCCTGCTCTATATGAACAAAAAAATGAAAAAATGTCCTCGGTAGTGTGAGGATCAAAAAAAAGAAGACAGGGTGGAAAAAATTAACCAATCAGAAAACCAAAGGGAAAAAACAATTAAAAAACAGGAAGACAGCTTAAGAGAACTGTGGGACAAGGGGAAACGTAATAATATTCGCATCATAGGAGTCCCTGAAGAAGAAGAAAATGAGCAAGGGTTAGAGAATATATTTGAAGAAATAGTGACATTCCCTAATTTGGTGAAGGAAGAAGGCATTCAAGTTCAAGAAGCACAGAGAGCCCCAAGTAAGAAGAACCCATACAGGCCCAAGACACAAGGTCATTAAAATGCCAAAAATTAAAGACAAAGAGGCAATCCTAAAAGCAGCAAGAGATAAGCAACAGGTTACCTACAAAGGAACCTCCATAAGGCTCTCAGCTGACTTCTCACAAGAAACACTACAGGCCAGAAGGGAATGGAATTAAGTAATCAAGGTCATGAAAAACAAGGATCTAAATCCAAGACTACTCAATCCAGCAAGGCTATCATTCAAAATAGAAGATAAAATAAAGAGCTTCCCAGACCAAAAAAAAAAAAAAAAAAAAAAAGGCTAAGAGAATGTATTAGCACCAAACCAACACTGCAAAAAATGTTAAAATGACTGCTGTAATTAGTATAAGAAATAAGAAGAAAAATATAACCACACTAAACAAAAATGGCAATAAATAAGTACATACCAATAATCACCTTAAAAATAAGTGAATTGAATGCCCTGATAAAAAGATACAGTGTAGCTGATTGGCTAAGGAAATATGACTCACAAATATGTTTTTCACAAGAGACCCAACTCACAACAAAAGACTCACATAGGTTGAAAGTGAAGAGAAGGAATAAAATCTACCAAGCAAACAAAACAGAAAAAGAAACTGGCATAGCAATACTCATATCTGATAAAGTAGATTTCAAAATGAAGGCCATAACTAGAGACACAGAAGGCCACTACACGATATTGAAAGCATCTATCCAGCAGGAAGGTATAACCTTGATAAACAAATATGCACCCCATATAGGAGCACCAAAATATATTAAAAATCTTCTGGAAGACTTCAAAGGAGAAACCAATAGCAATACAATCATAGCAGAGGACTTCAACACCCTGCTGACATCACTGGATAGATCATCTAGACAAAAAATTAGCAAGGAAATAATGACTCTAAATGAAGCACTAGCCCAAATGGATTTAATAGATATCTACAGAAAATTACACTCCAAAACTACAGAATTTACATTCTTCTCAAGTGCACATCAGACATTCTCAGAGATAGACCACTTGTTAGGACACAAACTAAGTATCTACAAGTTCAAGAAGATTGAAATCATATCAAGCATCTTCTCAGATCACAATGGCATGAAACTAGAAATCAATTGCAATAAGAACATGTAAAATCATTTGAACACACAGAGGTAAACAGCATGCTATTAAACAACGAATGGGTTACCAAGAAGATCAAGGAAGAAATTAAAAAGTTCCTGGAAACCAATGCAAATGAACACACAACACCACAAAACCTATGGGATGCAGTGAAAGCAGTTCTGAGAGGGAAGTTCATAGCACTGCAGACCTACTTCAAGAAACAAACAAACAAAAATCTCTAATAGACTGTCTAACCTCACAACTTAAAGAAGTAGAAAGCAAACAAAAAGAAAACCCCAGAGCAAGTAAAAGGAAGAAAATAGTAAAGATCAGAGCAGAAATAAATGCCATAGAGAAAAAAAAAATTCAAAAGATCAATGAAACAAAGAGCTGGTTTTTCGAAAACATAAAGAAGATTGATGGACCCTTAGCTAGACTCACCAAGAAACAAAGAGAGAAAACCCAAATACACAAAATCAGAAATGCAAGAGTAGAAATAATAACTGACACCACAGAAATACAAAGGATTGTTAACAAATATTATGAACAATTATACGGCAACAAATTCGACAATCTAAGCAAAATGGACACATTTTTAGAAACACATAGTTACCAAAAACTGAACCGAGAAGAGATAGAAAACTTGAACAGAACAATAACAACAAAAGACATGGAAGATGTAATCAAGACTCTCCCAGCAAACTTCAGAAGCCCAGGCCCAGATGGCTTCACGGGGAAATTTTATCAAACATTCAAAGAAGAACTAATACCCATTCTCTTCAATCTGTTTCAAAAAATTCAAGAAGAAGGAAGATTTCCAAACTCATTTTATGAGGCCAGCATAATTCTAATTCCAAAACCAGCAAAAGATATTACAAAGAAAGAAAACTACAGGCCAATATCCCTGATGAACATAGACGCCAAAATCCTGAACAAAATACTAGCAAATCAGATCCAGCAATACATCAAAAATATTATTCACCTTGACCAAGGGGGATTCATCCCAGGGATGCAAGGCTGGTACAATATTCACAAATCAATAAATGTGATACACCACATAAATAATATGAAGAATAAAAACCACACGATCATATCAATAGATGCCGAAAAAGCCTTCGACAAAATCCAGCACCCATTTCTGATAAAAAAGCTCAGCAATGTGGGAATAGATGGATCATATCTCGACATAATAAAGGCCATATATGAAAGACCTATAGCCAACATCATACTCAATGGGCAAAAACTAAAAGCATTTTCCTTAAGAACAGCAACAAGACAGGGATGGCCACTCTCGCCACTCTTATTTGACATAGTACTGGAAGTCTTAGCCACAGCAATCAGACAGGAAGAAAAAATAAAAAGGATCCAAATTGGAAAGGAGGAAGTGAAACTGTCATTATTTGTAGAGGACATGATACTATACATAGAAAACCCCAAAGACTCCACCAAAAATTTACTAGACCTAATAAATGAATTTAGCAAAGTAGCAGGATACAAAATTAACGTCAAGAAATGAATGGCACTCTTATACACAAATAATGAACTCACAGAAAAAGAAATTAAGGAAACAATCCCATTTACAATTGCAGCAAAAAAATTAAGATACCTAGGAATAAACCTAACCAAAGAAATAAAGGACGTATTCGCCAAAAACTACAGGTCATTGCAAAAAGAAATAGAGGAATATATAAAAAAGTGGAAGCACATACCTTGTTCATGGATTGGAAGAATTAACATCATTAAAATGTCCATACTACCTAAAGCAATCTATAAATTCAATGCAATACCCATCAAAATACCAATATACTTCACAGAGCTAGAACAAATACTTTAAAAGTTCATATGGAACCAAAAAAGACCCTGAATAGCCACAGCAGTCTTGAAAAAGAAGAACAAAGTAAGAGGGATCACATTACCAGATTTCAGGTTATACTACAAAGCCACTGTAATCAAAACAGCCTGGTACTGGCACAAGACCAGGCACATAGACCAGTGGAACCAAACAGAAAACCCAGAAATGGACCCAAGGCAATATGCTCAATTAATATTTGACAAAGGTGGCAAGGGCATACAGTGGAGTAAGGACAGCCTCTTTAATAAATGGTGTTGGGAAAATTGGACAGCTACATGCAAAAAAATGAAACTAGACCATCAACTTACACCATACACAAGAATAAACTAAAAATGGATAAAAGACTTAAATGTGACTCATGAATCCATAAAAATCCTAGAAGAACCTGTAGGCAACAAAATTTCAGACATCATACGCAGCAGAATTTTCACTGATACATCACCTAAAGCAACAGAAACAAAGGAGAAAATGAACACATGGGACTACATCAAACTCAAAAGCTTTTGCACAGCAAAATATACAATCATAGAAATGGAAAGGCAACCCACTGTATGGGAGAGCATAATTGCCAATGATATATCAGATAAGGATTAATTTCCAATATATATAGAGTACTCATACAACTCCACAAAAGGAAGACAAAGAACCCAATTAAAAAATGGGCAGAGGAACTAGTCACCTCTCCAAACAGGACATACAAATGGCTAAGAGACATATGAAGAAATGCTCAACATCACTAATCATCAGAGAGATGCAAAATAAAACAACAATAAGGTATCACCTCACACCTGTCAGAATGGCCACCATCAACAAATCATCAAACAAGTGTTGGCGAGGGTGTGGAGAAAAGGGGATTCTAGTACATTGCTGGTGGGAATGCAGACTGGTGCAGGTACTATGAAAAACAATATTGTGTTACCTCAAAAAATTAAAAATTGAACTTCCATTTGACCCAGTGATCCCTCTTCTAGCAATATACCTTAAGAAGCCTGAAACACCAATCAGAAAGAATATATGTACCCCCATGTTTTTAGCGGCAATATTTACAATAGCTAAGATCTGGAAACAGCCCAAATATCCATCAGTAGACGGATGGATAAAAAGCTGGTATATATACACAATGGAGTACTATGCAGCTGTAAGAAAGAAAGATCTCTTATCCTTTGAGACAACATGGAGGGACTTGGAAAGTATTATCCTAAGCGATACAAGCCAAGCTGAAAAAAAAAGAAATACCTCATAATCTCACTTATTTGTGGAATATAATGATCATAACAGTCTGAGGAATAGGGTTACCCAGAGATGTGGAAGTAGGGTACAGATTGACCATTCCCAGAAGGGGCGTGGTGGTGGAGAGATAAACCACAGAACTTATATGCATGTGTGCATGAACAATAGACATTGATAATGAAGCCGGGGGAAAGGTGGGGAGGGTTGTGGAGGGGGGAATCAGTGGGGGGGGGGGAGAGGAGAAACATCTGTAACAAAAATAAATAAATGAATAAAATAATTTTAAAAAATGGATGGAAAACAAATAGTGGCATAGTTATTTATGGAAATACTACTCAGTCATAAAAAGGAACAGACTAGTGATACAGAGATACATGGATGGATCTTAAAAACATGATGCTAAGTAAAAGAATCCAGATACAAAAACTACATACAGTATGATTCCACTTGATGAAACTCTAGAAAAGGCAAAATTATATAATAGAGAGCAGATTTGTTGTCTGGAATTGGGCAAGGAAAGAGGAAAGGACTAACTAAAAAAAATATATAAAATAATATTTTTGTGTGTGATGACTAAGCCTTTTATTTACTTACTTTTAAAAATTAATTTATTTTTGTTACAGATGTTCCCCCCCCCCCCAGACAGAAAGAAATTTTTAAATAAAATTTCTATGAAAATGTTCAATATCTTATTGTGGTGGTGAACTGTACACTTAAATAGACAAATTTTATTGCATGTAAATGATTCCTCATGAAAGCTGATTTAAAACAAAATGGGTGGGATATTGCCTGGTGTTGGGGCTTTTAGTATCTAGTGTTTAGAGAAGAGCTTGACAGACATTTTCAAGACATAAAAGCCATGTGGAGACATCAAGGTGATACCTACCACCAGTGCTCCTGCTTTCAGTCCAGGGTCATATGGAACTCGAAAACTCTTGGGGAGACTTGAATTCTGTAGGTTTTCAAGCTTTTGCTTAAGTTGGGAAATAACTGTAATTGTCAAAAGCACACAAGATTTATGTGAGTTCAAGAAATTACCAATATTATCTATAACATTTCCTGAGGCCACATATTTTCACAACATTATATATGTTTGGTCTGGTGTGGAGTAGGAAAAAAGGGGGTTGGTGTCTGTCTTTGGGGAACTGTCCATTCGAGGTGGCAAGACAAGTCACGCTTACTGGGAGCAATATAACCGCCTACACAGGAGGAAACAAGGGAAGTGATATGGGATACCAAGACAATCGGTAGAGAAGTATGTTTTAAGGATAATGCTGAGGATTTGATACTGCAGTTTTCCTTCTTCCTTCTAATGTGTGAAACTTTAAACTGCCATCTGATTTGGGGAACAGACATTTGAAGACCACATTAAATAGAATTCGGTTAGGCCTCTGTAAAATCTTCTGAAACGAGTAAGTTAGGCTATGTGGAGATGATGTGACAGTCTCAAAATTCTAAAGGCAAAATACATAAATAAAAAACCACTTCCCATATAACAGAGAGACTGAAAGGCCAGTACAAATGTTCCCCTTTCTTACTTATAATAAAAATAAAAGTGAGTAAGATCACTATTACCATTATTATTTTTAGGACAGAGCATTGTTGGTGTATTAGAAAAGAATCAAGGGGAAAAAGTAGAAATTCTAAATATTCAGAAGTGTAAAATCCTGGCGGAGTATGTTAGTGAGTGTCCATTATACTGCTGGGTCTAGATATACAAACAAGAATACGAGATCTTGTCTAGCTCTAACACTCATGTAGGTTAGAAGACTGGAAAGATGTGCTAATGACTATAATTTACTGCATTATCAACCAAAATCTATGGGAACACAGAGAAACAGTGATTAATTTTCCTTGGGTAGGGACAGGATTTCTTAGGGATAAAAAGAGAATACTAGAAATGCCTTTAGAGAAGAGGTGATATACATTTTTTAAAACATGAACTACTCTGATTATACACACACACACACATATAATATAAATATATATATATATATAATATATAAGGAGGTAAATATTCTTATGCCAAAATTTTTAGTTTCTCAGTAATTCATTACTTTAAAAGATTTAACATTTGAAAATTATATGCAGATATTGAAAGATAGAGAGAAAAAGGTAAATATCTGAAAACAACTAATCTTTGTATGTGTGTGCAAAATTGTTCTTAAAAATCAGGTGTTGCCCTGGCTGGTTTGGCTCAGCAGTTAGAGTGTCAGCCTGCGGTCCGGAGAGACCCGGGTTTGGTTCCTACTAAGGGTACATACCTTGGTTGCAGTTTATCCCCGGCCCTGGTTGGGTCGTGTGGGTGGCAACCACTCGATGTGTCCCTTTCACATCGCTATCTCTCTCTTGATCCCTCCCTCCCACTCTATCTGAACAAAATATTGAAAAATGTCTTTGGGTGAGGATTAAAAAAAAAAAATCAGATGTTACATCTGTGTAATGCTTTAAAATTTTTTCATAGTTTAGTATCTATCATAAACTCACCATTAAAAATATATGTAGTTTTAAAAATATATTAACTTGCAAAGGGAGAACTTTAAATTTGCTTGCTCCATGAAGACAGGACTAAAAACATGCATTCTTTGCTGCCTTTAGGAAGGTACAAATTGCCTTCCAGAAGGAAGAGTCACAAGGATGATGGCATTTGGAGAGGAAGGCATTTGGAAAGAGAACCAAAAAAATACAGCTACAATACCTTGGGAACTGACGTCATATTTTTCAGCAGAGAGAGATTTAATATCAATGGTAACTTTCTGTAACATCTCAATTACTTGGACTTGTTGAGTAAAGTCGTGCAGCATGGCGGTGCCACAGCCCCTCAGGTAGGCTTCCAGGATCACAGCGAACCTCTGCTGATAGTGCCTGGACTGGGCTATCTCACTTCTCAAGAACCAAAACAAGAAGTGACCAATTCTTTTGTTCTGAGAGTGGGAACAAGACCGTTGAAAATATTGTGACCAATGCTCTAGATTTATCAGTCAATTCCCCAAAACTTTTAAAATGTCATGCTACTATCAAAGAAGTACTTACTCTTAAACCACGCTTCAGCAGAAATCTGGCCAGGGCACTGTCATGGTAAGGTTCAAATTTCACAGCCTAAAGGAAGAACACATTGGCATTTGTAGGGCTTGCTCTATGATGGTTAATCAGGGAAAAGGAAATGGAAAAAACTGGTGCTCTGCCTTTTATGGCTAGGGTGATGAAAATCTTACCAGTCACTTAAGTTTAGTCCTTTCTTTTCAAGGACACTTTGGGTCAGAGTGAACCACTTGCTTAAGAACCAGGAGTAAAAACCAGAACTCTTGACTCATAGTCATGTGCTTTTGATTAACTTCAAAGGTAAAGGGGTGTGGGGCTTTTGCTCCCATTAAGGGCTCCATTGATTGACTGGAAGGAGAGAAGGGAAAGATGGAGACGGCTATAAGAAATCTATAAAAGTGGAAAATAAGTGAGGTTGTTGGAAAGAAAATAGGCAGTAGAGATATAGTACATGAAAGGAGAAAAATATTTGTTAGATGTGAAGATCCTAAAAATCTTATTGCTTTTCTTCTGCTCACGATGTGTGTCTGGCATCTTACTGGCAAGTCATTGAGCTGCTTCACAGATTCTTTCTCCAAGTAAACAGTAGGCTTGGATCATTCCATACAGAATGATCACTACTCCCTGCCACGCTGTGGTGTATACAGAACTTTTTGTCTGAAAATCTCTTATTTTATATGCTTCCTCAGGTTTTGCAGTGTTTACTAGTTTTCATATCACTATGTTAATATAGAGATACTGACTTAGATGATAGCACTATGACTTAAAAAAAAGAACCAATAAAATGTAAATAATAACTAAATCCTGATGGGTGCATGATATCTATAACATCATTCTCTGTACTTTTCTATAAATCTGCAATAGTCTCTAATTTTAAAAGCAGTCAGACTAACAAATATTGTTTGATTATTATAGATGCATATATAAAGTTATAGGATAGGTATCATGCATAAACAGAAAAAGAGGAGGCTTAAAATTAGATATTTCAGAGTATTTTCCTTATAAATAGACATGGTCTATCCTGTATTTAGAAGGAACAAGAAAAATTCTCATTCCACTTTATGTTTTAGGGTCTGGGGGCTTTTAGTATGATTTCCACTTCTTTGGTTTTCCAGTTTGAAAGTGATCAACACTGACTTGATAATATTGATAATATTTCAATTATCATCATACTTTCAAAGACACGTTCTATGGGTATGGTCAAATAGGTGCCATTGTAGCTCCAAATGAGATCTTTTTTTAATCCTCACCCAAGGACATTTTTTGTTCAGATAGAGTGGGAGGGAGGAAGTGGAAGAGAGAGAGAGAGAGAGAGAGAGAGAGAGAGAGAGAGAGAGAGAGAAAGAGAGAAACATCGATGTGAAAGGGACACATCGAGTGGCTGCTGTCTGCACGACCAACCAGGGCCAGGGTCAAACTGCAACTGAGGTACATGCCCTTAGCGGGAACCGAACCCAGGTCTCTCTGGACTGCAGGCTGACACTCTAACTGCTGAGCCAAACTGGCCAGGTCCAACTGAGATCTTAATTCTGAGAATGTGATTGTTTCAACACCAGTACTCACTTCAGAAATATTTTAATTTTCTAACCCTAATGTGAGTCTTTTTAACCTTCTTCATGTTTCACTTCTGTAAAGACAATGCAGGTCTTAACAAAGAGACCATTTAAATCAAAATGAGTCATTTGGCCATATCTGAAAATATCTCAAATAATTTTACAAATGACTACTCTTCTTCAAATTTACGACCACAAATTCAATGCTAATATTACTTATTGACCCTTTTCATTTAAATGCTTCCAAGAAAACCATTCATTTTCCAATTCTGCAAAGTTTACTTGTAAAATGACAATGTAAAATAATTCATGCAAATTTTTTAATGTTTATTTATTATGGAGAGCAAGAAAACTGAAGATATTTGGATTATTCTAAAGTTTTCATTAGTATTATGCTAGTATCTGCATTCATTAGCAGAGAAAAATTTTGTATACATTTGATAGATGAAGGCAGTAACCAAATATAATGTTTCAAGTATCTGCCTAATAGAAGGTGAAGACTCAGAGTTAAAGTGAGAGTATCCAAAATGCTCATCAGAAAACTCCAGGGCCTTCCTGTCAATCAGATAATAATTAGACAGTTTAGTGTATAATAGCCTGGATAATCTTAATGATCTCAGGTCAAACATCACCTATTCAGAACTGTCCCTGACTTCTTCAATCTAAATTAAGTGTCCCCAGGACCCCTAACTACTTTCTCATAGTACTCTGTAGTCCCTCCATGAAGCATTAATCACAATTTATTATTCAATATTTGCTTGTATGTGTATCATTTAATGTCAGTCCTCTCCATGCACCACAAGCGACACAAGGGCAGAGACAGGCTCTGTTTTCATCATTGTTCTATGTCCAGCACTCAGAACAGTGGAAGCGCTTTGTACATGTTATGTTAACGAATGAATACTTCTGCACTCAAAATGGAATTGCTATTCCAATTTCTTTGCTTCCTCCTCCTTGTCAAGCAGCACAATATGATTTGAGATTGGCTACAGTGACCAGAGAACTGCTCCTCCTTTCTTTTAACTTCCCAAGAAAACCTTAGGCAAATGACATAGCATCTCTTAACCCCTTGAAAAGGAATGAGAATAGGAGTGGAAACGAAGTGCCAGACCTGTCTAAAGAGAGGGGCTTTCAAAGCCCCATCCAGATGTGGGTTGTTATTCATGAATTGTGATCATATTCATGATCACAGAGTATGACCTTTTCGCTCTAGGACACAGTCCTGACACTGATTGCTGCAGGATATTGGGAGGCAGTGAAAAGAGCAGAGTCTGGGGTCAGACCTTCTGAGTTTGAATTCTGATCTTTCAAAGTATGTGACCTTGTGCACATAAGTTAGCCTCTCTCTGCCTCAGTTTCCTTATAATTAAAATACTAATTTTACCTCCATCATAGTTATTGGAGAGTTAAATGTGACAATACACAAAAAAACATGTATATCACTCAGAGCCTTGGCACAAGGGAGCATTCCATAAATTGAGTCTATCATTAATACAGTAAATGAGAAAAAAGTATTCCAAGAGGGCCAGTCATCCTAAAAAGTGGAAATATTAATATATTCAAAATTCTTGTCAGAAAACTCTCAAAGACAATACAAAAAAGTAAAAGAAACTGTTTACTATTTTTTGAGGTGGTTTGTTCAGACTTTCTTTGACAGATCATGATGCTCTCTACAAAGGGCATTTGATGACAACTGAATGGGGCACCTGTGCAGATGCAAATAAATTCCTCCAGAAGAGTGCTCTGTGAATAACACTGGCATCCCCTACCTGGACCAGCTGTAGCAGGTAATGCAGAACATCATCATCCTCCAAGCTCTCCAGTTTCTGAACTGCAATAGCTCTTACGTTTTCATCTGAAAAGTTGCAGTCCAGGAGTTGCATTGTTAGCCCAACATCCAAAGCACTTTGATCCCAGGCCTCCTTTCTGGCTAACAATTGGTATGTTTTGGCCACAATTTTTTGCTGTCCCCATTTCACTGAGCTAAATAGCTTAGGATATGCTTTTGGATGCTTAAGGCTTTCATATCTGAAATGCCAGAGCAATTCTTTGTCTTCTGCTGTAAGAGGGTTAAGTGGATCGGTGGCTATGATTGCCTCCAGTTGTTTCCGAAGCTGGTTGGGCATTTCTGCTCGAACCCGATCCCCTTCGGGGTCAGGGGTGGGATGATGCTTAGGTAAGGCTATTGGGTGACAGTAATTGTCCAGAAGAATGCAGATAGACATTGAATTCTCCTTGTCTGGGTTGGTTGCAGACGTGAGCTTGTCAGCATTGAAGCTCCCTTGGTCTTCTCCCTTCCCAGATATTTGCCACATATGGAGCACGTATTCCCCGTGGCGCAGAAGGAACCGGTGATCTATTAGCAGCAAGTTCACATAATAGAGAAGCTGAACTTTGCCTTTGGATTCAGAACTGGGAGTCTCTGCACAGGCCTTACCAGATAGTGCTGGAGCTTTGCCGCAGTAGATCTGGAGGTTCAGTAGAGCCCCTTTGGGTAAGTCTTTGATTTTGATACTGAACTCAAGCCACACATTCCAGAGCACCTCCTCTGTGAAGGGTTTGGGGCTAGTTCTCCTTTGGCAAAGGACTTGCTGCCCATGCTGGATGTTTGCCTCCACAAACACCGTGAGGTCAGCGTTCCGGGGCAGGACAGGGATATCAATGCCTCTGATTTTGACCCTGAACTTCCGGTCACAGTCCCACAAGGACACGGTGAATATACTCTCATGGTCCTTCCCATGGATGGTCAGCTGCTCATGATAGCCGGTGACTCCTGTGCAGTCATCCACTAGTGGCCACTCTTCTTTCCTCACCTCATCCTGGGCTGGGTCTGGAGGAGTGTCAAGCACTAGGTGAATCTCTTCCCCATTCTTGAGGCAATGCCTCACCCACTGGAAGTTTTTGATGGGCGTTTCACCCACCAGGTACTCATCGCGGCCACAGACACGCAGCACAAAGTCCTGTTCATTTTGGCTTTCGGGAATATCCATCAGAGACTTCTTCTTGGCCATCTTGGTGAAGAAGCTCTGGAGGATGGTGCCTGGGGTGTCATCGGCCAAAACCTTGATGGTCTGGCTGGTGGTGCTGCGATGAATGATGATGAAGATGCAGTTGTTGGTAATCTTCTTCAACAGGTATTCTGGGAGGGGCTTGGATGTCACCCAGGGGTGCATAGCATAGAGCTTGGGGTCGCGGCCAGCCACCTCGGTCATGCGTGGGGTGACTAGGCGGCGGCGTGTGAACTCCAGCTCATCATCGTGCACGTTGCTGACGTCGGTGACGTCATAGCCCATGAGCGCTGTGAGCTGCCGCTGGAAGGCCAATGTCTCCTCGGAGGGAGAGCGTCTCTGCACCATGTGGATCTGGCCTGGGCTCCTATGCAGCACCTTCCAGTAGCGCAGGCAGTCCAGTGTTTGCACCACCTGGTACTTGTCGTAGATCTCGTACCACTGCCCCTTCTTCTGGTAGAGCAGCAGGAAATGGTCTGGGCTGAGCCGCTGGTAGAAGTCGGCCGCCACGCTCGTCTCCAGCGCTCGAAGCCACACCTGCGCCTTCATCTGCTCCACGTTCCCATGGCCGGCCACGTGCAGCAGCGCCGTTTCTGGGGTCTTGCTGGTGCGCTGGCTGGTGGGCAGCACGAACTCGATGGGGATGAGCTCCATGGAGGACAGACTGGCCGCTGATCCGCGAGGCTTCATTCTCCGACGCCTGCGGCGGTTGTCCTCTCTCAGGACTACGGGCTGTTCATTGTTCTCCAGCTCCATGCCCTGCGCGACCTGGGAGCAGAGAAACAGAGGACTCCGTCACAGGGAAGCCACTTGCCGGTTGCATTTTGCTGTGAGATAGCAGAAGGAGAAGGTGTTGAAGAATGACACTGGGCTGCGCACGGGGATACAAGGGCTTTGGAGTCGGGGCCCATGAATCCTGACCCCGCCACTTAGTATCTGGTTACCTGAACTAGTTAAATAATCTCAGAGTTTGTTTCCCATCTGTCAAATGGAGTAATACCTTAGAGGGTAGAGGTGGGAATTAAATAGGTAGTACATATACTTGTTCAATATGGACGGTGGGTATATGGGGGTTCAGTAGTCATTCTCTCTACTATCTATGTTTGGAAATTTAATAAAGGACTTATGGAAAGCACTCATCTGACATATTATAATGGCTCAAAGTGGTACTTGTTTTTAAGTATACTGAAACTAATGGATGAGTAAAACAGTTCAGTTAAAGGTTCAAGTCCTAGTTTGCAAGGTGCACTGTGAAATGCTAAAACACTCCTCCTTAAAAGCAGGCCTCTGACTTATTTCCTCTTTGTTCAGTTTCACACGTCTTGGGACCCAGACACCTTACCCAGCCGTGCTTCACATTCTCTGTGTTCAAACTGTTTGATTCAGGATCTACACCCTAGTCAACTTCCTGTATTTCTTTAAAAAAGTTTCCTTTCTCGTTGGGAAAACTAATCATTTCATTAATAAAACTAAAAAATATCAGAATCAGTAGTTTCAACCAAGAACATATTTAGATATTTACTATTTCAAATAATGAAATTCTGGTTGTTATTGCTATATTCGGGCAGTGTCTTAGGGGAGTCACCTAAGGCTGAACTTTCTCAATAGGAACATACAGGTAATTTTAACTTTGTTCTAGTTCATTCGTTCTTCCTCTGCATTAGACAATGGAGAAGCCATCGAATGGAAGGAAGCATTTCTGGGTTCCAGTAATCTGCTGTTTGGATCCTAATTAATTATTTGACTTCTTTTTTGCTCTAATATTTTCATCTCTACAACAAAAATTTACAAGTTTTTCTCATTAACTTATCCAGTCTTTCTATAAATGTGTACTGAGTACCTAGCCAGCACAAAGCATATAAGTATAAATTTGACATACTGTGTAACAAACACTTCAAATAATGTTTGAAATGCTTAAATATTAAAATTGAAATAGAAATAAGGTATGGTATTTTTATTTTAATATTTAATATCAGTGTTGTAAGATATTATATTTTAAATAGAAACTATTGACACAAAGATTAATGTTTCAGAAAATATCATATACTCTTTTAAATGACTAATGTTAATGAGACACATAACTATTTATTTTCCTAAGAAACAGTGGAGCATTTGACACACAACAAAAAGAAGAGTTTGATTAAAAGATAAGAGAGACAAATTTCATTAGAGCCAAACTTCTGTTCAAATCTTGATTTAAAATTACTTTTAAAGTCAATATTCTCTCTCATAAAATATTATACAGTTCTACTTAGTAAATACATGAAACCAACTTTCCCAAAGCACTGTCTCTTGTAACTTAAAACACTCATTATTTGGTCTGTAATGTTCCTACATTATAGAATAACAAAAAAGAGAACTGTAAGATACATTAATACTGACACTTAAAATAAAATAGGTCTGAATTTAGGCAACATACAAATACACAACAATAACTTCTGTCTCAGTGATCAAAAATAATCTTACAAGATACAAGATGCAGAAGAAAATAGTCAGACTAAATACTCACTGCTTTCCTTCATGTTTGAGGTTACGAAGCGATCGCCTTTCAGAGAAAACGTTAGAAACACTAATGAGTACAATAATGGGTAGCATGCACTTGTAAGAATGTGAAGCCTGACTTGCACAGGCTCCTGTGCCCTCCCTCTCTCTTCCTCCCAAACAAAAACAAAAAAGAACTGATGCACCTGCAAAACTATTGCCGGAACCTCGTGGATATCTACACATACAGGTTAGACTAGACAATGAAACAGAGACATTCAGTGGTAGTATCGTCTCAAGAACCGACAACAGTTCCGGCTAAAAATATTCTAGCTGAGAAGGAAGTGGCACTGTTTCCAGTCAGACCCAACAAAGGGCAAAAAATAGAAAGGGTAAAAAATACCTGGTAAAGCAGTGGAGGTGATGATGCTGAAAGATCATTTGTTTAGATTTTGAAAACAATAAATTCAAACCTACCCAGTGTGCTTCTAAACTCTTCCGCTTTTCTGGGTCTCCCTTCATATCCAGATGCAGAGGAAGTGTTGCAATTACCAGGAAGGAAGTTTTAACCAAGTTGATTATATGTGTGATTGCTCATTTTAAAAGTGTCAGAAATGCATTTCCTGTTAATAGCACAGAGAGTGAAGCATGAGAGTGACCAGCGTTTATCATATTTTATACTCTTAGAAGTAATTTTTTAATAATTGTGAGAGACTGAAACAAATTAAAATTACATAGATCCAAACAAAAAATACATATTCATGAGACATAAACACATGAAATATTTTCTAGGTAGTTCTAAGTAGAAGAAAAGACTTAACAGTCACAACATTAGAGAAACAGCCTGGTAGGAAGATTTTTAAGAACCAAATTAAATCTATGAGTCCTGCAAAGCCCATTCAATTAATTTTCAAATGATCTCTTGTTCATACACTGTAACTGAGGGTCGGGGAAGAGAAACTAGTGATCTAGAGGACTGAGTTATCAAGCTGAACATTTTCAAATATGAGATCTAGCAGCTCACTTCCTTAGTTTGGTGAGCTAGTTCTCTATTTTTGTCAGAGGACGTAGAATCCAAAATATCATTGGTTGAAACAGAAAGTACACTCTGTGTGTGTGTGTGTGAGTGTGTGTGCGCGCACGCGTGTGTTGAAGTGAAGACTTACTGTGGGCAATGATTGCAGACAATATAGATTTTTGGTTTCATGGGAAAATTAAGGAGCTGAGCACTGTCACACCATCAGGTAGTCACTGAGAGATGGCTCTTGATTGCCATGAGAGTAGAGAATCCATAGAAAAGCCATTCTAAATGATTTTTAAAGTAGCTCTATATCTTCCAAGTGATCTTTCTGGAACCCCCAAGCACACTCAGATCCTGAACCAGTGCCCCCTCTCCTTCATCCCAGGGTTCCTATACCAGAGTTCATCCTCTGGTTGAGTCCCAAGGATAACAGGTGGGATGGTGTTGTCCTCAGGTTTCTTGGAGGTATATAATTAAAAGTTATCTGAATCACTCTGACATCAAGATAAATGATTGATATGATCTATCTCCTTTCACATAGGCCCCTTGGGTCTTAGCTTTCCACAAACCATACTATAATAGTTGACATCAGCAGTCAAACTATTCAATTCAAAGTCTGTGTCCAAAATATTTAGAGGGGGGCTTATTAGCACTCCAAAATATATTTCTATATAGGAATACTCTCTTAGAAGACTGGCAGCTTTAGAAGCCTAATGTTGGCCGTCTTGGTTGGTTCTGAAGCAGGGACCAAGGAGTCACATTGCAGAAACTTGCCAAGCTGTGCTTCACATAGAGTGTGTGGGAGGGCTCATGGGGGTACGTGGGCTGGATGGGAGTTTTTGCTTAGTACGGTTCATCTCAGAGGAACCATGAGCTTGGTCAGCTCTGTTCTCCAGACCAGTCAATAGATTCTGTCCCTCAACACATTCTTCCCCTGCCATAGCTCAGCAACACCCTGGAGCCAAGTCCCAACCTGACCCCGCCCCCCCCCCCCCCCCCGTTATTTCAAAAATGCTAGACTCCAGCTCTTGGTTCTCCTTGCCTCTGCAGGAACTACTCAGCTAAGTCAAATTATGCAAAGTCTGTTTTATGATTCAACTTGCAAATGCTTCATGCTTTATTGGTGATTAGAGAATAAAAATACCCTGCTCTTCCCCAAATCCTAATATAGCCACTAAAATTTGACTACATGTAGTAAATGTTCCAAAGGAGAAATAATGGCCAGTGTCTCCTTCCTCTCTATGGATACTTCCTCCATGCAGAGGAATGCTTTACTAGTTAGGACCTCGTTTGTCTCCAGGTTTTGAGGTTAGAAGACCCCCAGACCTCATCATTATCCTATTTTATCAATGTGTTTCTCTCTTTTCTTCTTTTTTCTCTCTGTGAATCTCTATGCATCTAGCATCATGTTTTACATAGAGTAGTCATAACACTACATTGTAAATGGAAAAAAATACAATAAAAATGTCTGACCTTCTATATCACATCCAACTATCACAGGAAGGAGAATATAGAACAGATTAGAAAATAAGAACACAGTAAGATGTGTCAACCATCAATAAACAAATTAAGAATGAATTATTTGCTCTGAGAAAGATTTTTTCTGATAGCCTTCAGAGAGACTGTTTGTGGTATAATTAAAGAGACAAGTCACATAGATGAAAAAAATAAGATGCACAATTTGATAGTATGTATAGGCCAAGTGGTTTATATGTATAATGTTACATACTACAGCAATTTACTGGAGAAGGTCACTTTGGGTGTAACAAAATTTTTTTAATTATGCAGGAGGAGACCCAGGATTTAAGGCAAGGGAAATCATAGGGAAGGTCTTCAAGCCAAAATTGTGAACCAACAAAACAGTTCAAGAAACAGTGAATGAAAAGACAGACATGTGCTTTCTAAACTTATTTCATGTTTCAGCATATGTAAATAGTAACATTTGTATAGCACACTGGATGCAATAAACTGTTTGCCCTGCTGCCCCAATTCATATATTGAAATTCTAACCCCCAGTTTGGTGATAGTAGTAGGAGGGGCCTTTGGGAGATAATTAGGTCATGAGGGTGGAGCCCTCATGAATGAGATTCATGACTTTATAAAAGGGACCTCAGAGATCTTTCTGCCATGTGAAGGTACAAATATAGCTGCTTGCAATCCAGAAGAGACCCTCACTAGAACCTGACTATGCTTGTACCCTGATTTTAGACTTACAGTCTTCAGAATTATGAGAAATACATTACTGTTGTTTGTATGCTATTCAGTCTGTGGCACTTTGTTAGAGCAGCCCAAACTGACTATGACACCCAGATAAAGTGAAGAGTCTCCTCAAAGTTTGAGAGAATATCTATATCCCCAAGGGTCCTGAACCCCTTTGAGGCTCACTGGTTGGGAAACTGTATTATTGGTTATTGTTTCTGGGTAGGGTAGCTATCTGACTCAGACGTGTGCATCTCCCAGATTGAAAAGCATTAGAATCCATCTTTTCATGTTTTTGAAGTTCAGTCTCAGATGGCTTATACAATGTGAACAAAAATGCTAAGTCATTTTAATCTACTCCAATAATTTTATTTGATCTTCATGCCTTGCTTTGTTGTCTGGGCATGAATGCTAATCTGTATGTAGTTTTTGGTCTGTATCTAGTATGATGAAAGAGAAGCATCCTGGTATTGTAGAAGCACTAGCAATAATTAGACCTGGGTTTATTTCTGCTCATTCTCCAGGTCTAATATATATGCCAATTGTTCTCTTTTAGCTTCTTAATCTACCAAAGGGACAACATCTACCTTACTTATCTCACAGGAAGTTGTCATAAATCTTCAATTTTCGGTGAAAAGTAAACTAATCTAACTATACTCTATGCTAATTATTGTGTTGGAGACACTAGAGGACATGCAATTCTAGGTGTCACATACCAATACAACATTCAAAGGAAGAAGAGGCATGTCATCTTGTGTGTTTCTCTTTCAGAGAGAGGATAACTTTCCCAGAAGCCTCTAGGGTCCCCTCAAGTCTCTGGCTAGAATTAGGACAAGTGCCCATTTATCTCAGCCAATTACTAGGAATTATGTGAGTGGTTTGAGCCAACCAGGATTTTCCCCCATTGAATTTGATGGCAGAGAAGGGCGGACACCAGAACAGACTGTCAGGTCTCTGACAGTGAGGACAAAGTGTGAAAATGTGACGTGCACCTCTTACAGACACCAGAGAGGTGTTACTGGACAACCCCCTGAATCAGAGGGTGCAGGCTGTCCTAAACCTCAATTCTTGTCTTCTCATATAAAAGAATTTATATAAGCAACTCTAGATAATATTTGCATTGTGTTCAGTGGATTTATTAAAACATTGATGCAAGTGAATTTATTAAAACATTAAAGCATGCACATTTATTAATGAAGCAAAGCAAGCAAACCTATACATCTGGCTTATGAAGCACAGACAGGGGCTCTTCAGTTAATCTGAAGAGCAAGTTGAGTGGGCGGTTTCTGCCTTATATACCGGTATGTCTACAAGCTTTTTTTTAAAGTTCCTTTGCTAGATATCCTGGTACAGATTAACTCTAAAAGTCTCCCCTTTTATTTGTTATGGCTTTCCCACAATTTATGGGAGGTACCTGGCAATTAAATCCTGACTCCTGGCTTTTTTTTTTTATACTCTTCTTCTCTCCTCCTCCCCACTGTTCTAACAACTTCAGGATGATTTGCACTAAGGGTCTCTGATTCCTCTTCCTCCTCCCCACCTCTATTCCGCCTCCTTTCCTGCATTCTTCAGTGAGAAGGAGAGGTTTTAACCTTGTCTTCAAAATAAGGCTCTGCTACAAGTGGCCTGCTAAGCTTTTTGGCTTTGTTTAACTTTCCTGCCTCAGTTTCCCTGTTCCTCGTGACCCAGAATTTTCCTAGCTTGTCATTGTCCATCAACAAAAGGGGTACTGGGGAAGACAGCAGAAGAGCTTATCACACCCTTGAATGCCATTATGAAGGTAGGCTATTATTATGCCATATGGGTAGAGAGAAGCCACTCCAGGTTAAGAGAAAAGAAGCTATAGGAAATCAGTGACAGTCAGCACTGCCTCAGGGATCTATAGCCAGATCCAGGTGCCTGTGGGACATCCCACACATTCTTCATTCTTATCATCAGAAATTAGCCATTGAGAACACTTTTCTCAATTTCCTTGTTCAGCTAATCTTTGGTGATACAGCTTAGTAAGCACTTCACAAATTTCTAGAAATTTTATTTTCTATAAATTGATATTTAAATATCCAAATTCTTTAGCATGATAACAATAGACCCTTTATGATCTATTCCATATGGTCTTTCTTTAACTCTTGGCCTCATCTTCCAAATTGCCTCCACATTTGAATTAAGCTGATTTCTGCTCTCACACTTGCTGTGCTCTCCACACCCCCGTGCCTGCTGCCACATGCCGCTTCCTCTGCTCCATCTCTTCCCCTTATTCTTCTCTATTCTTCTTTCCTCATTTCCTCTTTCCCTCAGCCA